AAAATTGGGTAGGTTGTTATGAAGATAACAACAGAGTATTATCAGATGAATACTGCATTGCGGTTCAAAAATATGAAGGAAAAATGAGTGAGTCTTGACAAGAACAAAAGGAATGGGTTATAAAATTAAAAAAAAAATACCCTAAGAACAGTTTTCTTTGAATTCTCTTTATCTATTCTTCCAGGTACCCTCAACTACTGCATATTACTGAACTCCTGCATGCACAGTCCTTTTATTTTCCACAGTCTCTGGGTCAGGAATTTGCTCTGCCATGAGTCTAAGAAACACCAAATACCACTTTGCTACTCTACACAAAAACATAGTTTTAATACTAACATACTTCAGAGAGAAATTATAATCCAGCACGCTGTTTTGGGCACAAATAAAATAATTTTATATGTTATATTCTATTACCATAGTTTAAATTAGAGTATCCAAGAAGAAACATTGCTGGAGAAATAAGCCATTTATCTTTTAGAAGGAATAAGGTTACATTTTTAGCTTTCAGATTTTAATGCAAGATACAGTATTTCCTATTGTTTCACCTATCGTAAAATAAGAAGCAAGAACCCCACAATTTAACTTCATCTTATGAAACTAAAACCCAAACCAAATCAAAATTAAGCTACCGCTTCCTAGTAAGTTAAGGAACACATAATTAAAGTTTCCTGGATTCTCCTTTCACATAGAACACCCTTTTAAACATGATTGTGTATCTCTCAGGTGACTACTCCTGAATAAATATTTCTCAATAAATAGTTAATAAAAATAAATTAATTTCGATCTCTGATTTAAGAGCTTTAAGCTATGAAGATATTGAGTTTAGAACCAAAATTTGATGGATGATAACTTATCTGTAGCTTGAACATTACACATTTTTAATGCCCTTGTCAAAAATACAAAGTCTATGGCTAAAAGAAAGTTAGCAATGCATTAACATGTACCAAAGTCAATACGAAAATCATGTGAAAACCAAAATAAATTCTCTGCATTATTTCCTCCCTTAACTGTCAAATTGCTGTTACTCAATTCAGTCCACAGAAGGCTGACATGATCACACCATCATAGTGACTCAATTCCTCCAAAACAGTCAAGGGAGTTTTTAAAAATTAGACACCTAAGTCTAAATTCTGATTCTAAGAATGTTGAATAAATTTAATTTTTCACTATTTTCTTGAAAGGCAAGGCAGTCTTAGATTTTTCTTCTCATTACTACAGGTTCATCAATCACCTGCTTACATGAAGAAAACAAACCTGAAAGAGCAGCTTTATTCCCCTCACCTCTGGGAAACGTGAAGCCAAGATGCTTTAGAAAACTTTATATCCCAGTGCCATTAGTCATTTATGCATGCATCACAAGGTGACTGTGTAATGTTAAAGACATAACTGGTCACAACTTATTTCTCACAAGAGAGAAAAGTATTTAAAAATATTTGAAAAATTATTTGAAGTGCTAAAAACAACACGCAGAGACAGATGGAAGAACACATACCGAAATATTCACACAGACCTGTTTTGCTGGGGTTTTTTAGGTTTGGGGTTTTTTTGTGTTTTTTTTTTTTTTTGTTCAGAAGCTAGTCTGGACAAGATTCATTTCATTCTGACAGTATCAACCATAAAGTAACTACCAGTTTAAAGAAGAAGAATAATGGACAAACCCAAACATATTTTAGAGCTGACAAGAAATTATTTCAATTTATAATTGTAATTAACTTCAACTTCTAAATAAACTCTCAAAAAACAACTGATGTCTAAATTCATATTCTACTGGCTGAATATTTCATTCTTCCACAGATGAATTTAACACAATGAAATATCAGCCATAGCATATCTATTCCTTGTCACAATCTTGTTATATTGATTCAGATAGACATGGATTTGGTTTTCTTAATTTATTGAAAAGACAGCAAATCACACTGCTATATAACTAAGTCACAACTGAAAAATTTTAATCCCAAGATCTGGTCAGATTATTTTCACGAGACAAGTTTGATAAACAAAATTATTTTCTGAGTCAGGTTTCTGTTTCTTTGAATTTCCACAGAATTTAATTCTCTTACTCCTAGGTCCAAAGGCTAGAAAAGGCTAGTAAGGCAGCCTTTTGTTACCCAGCATATATACAACATGCTCCACTTTTTAGGAAACACAGCAGAAGACAGCCTGCTGTCCTTCAACGCCCTATGACATATTTGTCATACAGAGAGTATTAGGAGTAAAACAATGAAAACACTAGATCTGCATTTCCACCTTATGGAGCTTGTTCTTTGGGAACACCTGAGGCACTTCTAAACAAAACAGATTTTATATATAGAGAGACTATTCATACATACAGACATGCATGCTCTCTCTTTTTTCTTCAGTGTCAAAGGCTCTCATTAGAACTTTCCTTTATCCTTTCAAAAAAAATCTAAATAAGTGATATACAACCAAACCCAGGTAAGAAAACTATGTAATCCATGGTGCAATTGTCTGAACTGTTCCTTTTGTATTTTATGAGCACTGCCTGAAATCACAGCCTTCATCCCGCAATAGATTTTATGTATATGCTTAAATTAAATACTATAAAAGGCATAGATGTGAGTAAAGTTAACCATGTCCCTCAACCTTGCAGGATTAGCACAGATCTCTAATTTTGCAATCTGTATTTAGACAGAACCAATAATAAGGGCCTTAAGTTGCAGCAAGAAAAATCTAGCATTAAAGGGCAGTGAAACACTAGAGCAAATGGAAAATGGCACATAAGAAAAATCTCTCTATGGGGAAGTTTTTAAGAACAAATTAGGCAAATGCCTGGCAAGAATGACATATATAGTCAAAACTACCTTACAAAGAGAACACAGATTAAAAACTTCCAAAGATCACTTCAAACTTAATTTTTCTTGATTCTGTGATAAACTATAAAGTCAAGTAACAAACCAAACCAAAAATAAGTCTCCTAAAATTCCAGATGCATTTGTTAACTGTTAAAAAAGTGGCTGAAGTCCAAAACCTACTCTTCCTGAACACTGAGACTGGGATCAGCTAAAAGAGATCACCATCCAACAGTCAATACTGTCACTAAGCAACACCAGAACACTACTTATTGCTATCATGGCTGAGTACATTCGTTTTGAAATACCAGAGGAAAAGATTAAATCTAAAAAATGAGCAAGTAAAGCCATTGTTCAGTAATCTATCAATTGTAAAACCAGACAAATATTTATGTGACCCTAAAAAGGGACCATATACGCAATCCTAAATTCTATTCGACTTTACTGCTATGCAATATATCAACATGTAATATGCACCACATATTGATTTATTCATAGATTTTTAAACAGCAGCTGAGTAAATTTGCCACGAATGTTCTGGGCTGATACCTTAATAAGGATATATCTCAGTTGCAGCAGTATTCAGAGGCCTGCATTCTAATGTTTTATTTAGAAGTCACTTAAGTCCCTGTATAAGAATGAATGTTATAGGTCTATTCCCCTACAAAGTATTATGAGACCTCATTTAGTCCTATTAGCAAAATACAGAAGGGGGGAAAGCATCCCTCTAATATCTGAAAAGAGATCACATGAAAGAATAAAAAGATTATATAGCACAGAAGAGAAAGGGTGCTTCAAGATCAGAATAAGCAGCCTGAATTTGACATGCTGGGAAACAGAAACCCAATGAACTGTCCAAAGAGAACTGTGTAACTACACAAATTTAAGCATAATCTAGAACCACTCTGGATTCTGAACATGAATCCTATCTAACATAAAGAAAAAAGCACAATCTGGAAGCTGTGCATTAGAAAACCTTCCTATCCGTAATCCCAACAGTAACAGTATTAAGATTTACTGTTATGTTACTCTGATAAAGTTACTTCTTCCCCAATCCAAAAAACCTCTTTAAACCATTTCACACCAAGAAAGAACATTCTTGATGTGCCACCAGTCTTGCTGTACTTTGCTTCAATCTCTTGGGCTACTTCAACAGTTTTACTTGTATTCACATTCTGAATGGACCTCAGAATAGAGTGCAGACCCAATTTCTAAGCTGAAAATTCACCCCTGTGAGTACTGTTTTCAAAGGCAAAGAGCATTTGCCTTTCCATATCTGCAGGTTGTATCTTAGGTTTTCCTTACATTTAAGCAATCTCCAGGCTGAAATAGATATAGTAGTTCAATAAACACTGCTTATCAAGGGTTTTATTTCAGCAGGCTCAGCTGGGTATTTTCTTTGCTGTAGACTGCCCCTAGCAGCAAATGACAGTGATTTTGGACAAACACATCTACAGGAACACAGCAATTGAAAAAACTAAATGAATTTGTCTTATTTAAGCTTAGGACTTCTTTCTAAGACAGACAGAATCAATTTAATTCCAGCAACATCATTCAGAAAACCATGGTCTTAACTGGGGTCAACTTAGAGCCCACTTCGTTGCAGATCCTGTGCTGCTTCTCTTGTATCCTTTGACAACGCTAAATACTGGTTCTGAAGTTACCTGGTCACAGTTTCTCATCAGAAAGCCTCTCAACACTAAAGGATTAGTATCTCCCCTCATCAACTCCAATCGGGTGAATATCTGTTCTAATTGGGAGAAGTAAATTTGAAAGGTCATTAAGTCTTTGCCCAATTCCTCGGAACATCAGGATTAAGACTTATTAAAACAGCTTTATCTAACATTCACTCTTAAAAATGACTGTAAGCAAGTATAGCATGAATATACATGTGGCACTTGAGTGGGAGGAGCCAAGGACTTTGTCCTCAGTTACACTTTATGTAACTTCAGTAAGATCAGTGGCACTATATGGCTATAACCAAATGTTGAATCTGGTCTTCAAACTCCAACAACGGAAATGAACCCATAGAGATGTACAGCCTCATTTTGCTTATGCTGCAAAACAGTGACACCCACTGGCAGCAACAGTTTAAATACTGCATTGTTGCAATTTGGATCTACTTGACACGAGTTGCTAAGAAGTTTCTCTTCAGAAAAATTCATTATGGTCACAACCATACAAACTTACCTCTTGAGTCAGCACTACTGTTGGAGTTTTCAGAAACTGAAATACTAATAGCATCTGGAGTAACTGCAACGTAACCCTCTGGAGGAAGATTCACCGTGTACATTCTCCTTGGAGACAGAATTGTATTGTCACTACCTACAAAACAGAAAAAACAAAGTGTCTGGCTATTGATCTCAGTATTGATTTCCTCAAATATTTTCTCAACTACAGCAATGATAATAAGTGGTCTCGAAAATCCTTAGAGGAAAAGGAAGTGAGAGAAAGTCATGTGTGGAACAGTGAAATTATCCCATGACCAACAAAATTGCACTGAATTCTGTAGCAGCTACAAATAAACAAACACTCCACATGTTAGTTCTTTCCACCAGAAACACTTTTTTCTCCTTGTATCAGACAACTCTTCTGCCCTAAATTCAGAAGCAGCTTCCACTTACAGTGATATTTTAAGAGACACTCTATACATTCTTCCTCATTCAGCATGAGCAGATTTCTTTAAGAACTATTTCTTTAAGAACTATTTCATAAAAGATGGAGAGATACAAGCTGACTACGAAGTGATAGAAGCAAAAGAATCACAGAACTGTGGTTTGTCCATTTGCAGACCTTTTAAACATAGCCTATACTGTTCTGAAGGGCACAAAAATAAAGGGAGTTTGAAAGCCACACTTTAAGCCTCAGCAGTGCCTGCCCAAGATGGCTCATCTCCTCATCCTTTCTCTGCTTCTTTCTGGGGGTGAAGAGTGCCAAGGGCCAGGTTTCCAACTATTTCATTGTATAGAAACTATCTGTGATGATAGCAGTAGACTGTTTTTGTAGGCTTTCTTTCACCGTTAAAAGGTATTTAAAAATACGTGCAAGAGTGGCAGTATAAACTTTTCATTTATTCACCAGACAAGAAGTAACTCTGTAGGAATGACAGAGATGCATCTCTGCTCCAGTTACACAAAACCAGTCCAAAGAGCAGACTGTATTTTTTTTCTCAGTAGTGACAACAGTAGAGATCAACCACAGGGAGACAAAAGCCGTTCCAGAAGGCCAGTATGTTCAGGGTGTCTCCAGATGCTGCAATGTAATTCTAGATTGTTCAGAATTTTAGATCAGTCAGTACGAGTTTTTAGATCGTTCAGTGCAGGTTTTTTTTGTTTGGTTTGGTGTGTTTTTGTTTTTGTTTTTCTCTCTACTCAGCCAGCCCCGTAAGCCAGCACAGACACAGCACTAGCCTTCCCTTCTTGGGGGCAATTTGCCCCTTTAAAACACACAGACAGAACTGTTAAAATAATATACAGTACAAACATCTTTGGCAGATGGTCACAATTAACTTCCTTACACCACAAACTTGCTAGAAGATCCCAGATGATCCAAGCCTATTACCAAGCTGCAGCTACGGTTGGACTAATACCTAAACAATTAAAATACAGTTGTGCCTGGCAGAATAATTCTTGTTAGTGATCTACATTTCTAATATGTAATTTAGCTATACACATTGTATGCAAATATATAATTTAACTATACACCGACATGTCTCACAGCACACTTCAAAGAGTTCAGCATGACTGATCATCTTGGATATCTATAATAAATTACATTTCAGAACATTCAAGGCACTTTTGAAAAGCTACATCACAGTTGTTTTCACCATCAGGATGTAATAATTTTGTTTTGAGAACACGTTAGAAAGTTATTGTTTTTCTCGAACAAGCCAGAAAATTTCAAACTGATATTGATGATGCTTACTTTAAAGGATAAGAAAGGAAAAGAAATAAGTAATACAGAAAGATGAAGATCAGTTACATGATTTGGAAAAAGATCCACTAAGAGTTAATTTGGAATAATTCTTCAACAGATCCTTTCTATGAAGACAATACCAAATCACTGAACTGGCAGTACTTGCATTGATATTTTTTTTTCCCCTACCCAGGTTGATTAATGATGAAGTACTGATTAGTGGTAGTTTTAAATTACAAGCATGCATAAATGTTTCTTTAGTTAATCCCTTCTGAAGAATTTCAAGTTTGCTCTTTTTTTTCCTTTATATTTAGGTTTTGTGAAACAAAGATGACAAGGAAAACATGAAACTCAATTTGCAGCACTCCTGACTAACTCAAACCCTTTAATCATAAAAGGAGTAGATATATTAGGATATTCCCAGGACAAAACAGTTACATGTGACAGAATTTGGGGGACCACCTGCAAGACCTAATCTTACAAAGAAGAACAGTAACAACTTTTACTATGTAAATGAGTGATGACTCAAAATTTTTTTTAAGTTGACCTGTTTAAATGGGAGTCTCCAAATTACATACTTATTTACCCTATATACATCTCAGGTAGTTCACAAACCATAAATCAAGAATTAGTCCTTGCTAATCCTCTACAAGTATGTCAAACCAAACTGTTAACATAAAAAAAAGTATACACACAACTCTAATCTCAGTGTATCAGCAAATATCTCAGTCTCAAGCCATTACGTCGGGATTTGTCCACCCTGGGGCCATAGTCTCCTTGGGCTAAGAAGAAATGGGTTGGTTATAAAGTTATAAACGTTGCTGCAAAGCAATCGGCTAAGCTTATAAAAGTGTGACACAAAAAGGGTTTTTTTGACTAACAAAAGTAATCAGATACTGGAGGTATTCAAGAATGCTCTTCTTTCTACTAGTTAATAGTCATGAATTCCATTTCTAGTTTTATTTTATGGGGGAAAAAAAAAGGCATCTAAAGGACATTTACAAAACCACAAAAAGAACAAGCATTACTCTTAAAGGCAAACTAAGAATACAGAATAAATATTTTGAATCGAGTTGTCTCCTATTCATGTTCTTCTCCACAACATTCCCCACACGAAGAGCAACTTTGCATGCAAATCAACCTCGTGCACAGAGTAGGAAAGTGCATCTAAACTACGCCGTTACCAAGGTTACAGCTGCAAGTATGTCAGTAGCTTGGCTAGCTATGTTATCTCGTGCTATCCTACTACAAACAAGTATCAGACCTTTTAAGAAGGACCTGAGGGTAAAGCTTCCAGCCATGGAATTGCCAACTGCCTGTCATCAGCTCAGGTAAACACAGTGTATTTTGTTTTAAAGTTTTATGTTTCAGTATCCTTAAACTTTCCCCTACCTGCAGCTCAGAACGGTGCTACGTACCACCAGCATGGCTTCCAGATCACCTGAACACAAAGCACGCTTGGGCACAGCTCGAACGCAGACATGGCCAGAACACGTGTTCATGTTATCCTGGTCCTCCGCTTGCTGGTAAGACTGATTAAACCCTGGGCAGAGACTGAATCGCTTCTAGTTTCTGTGGTGGGTCAACCCTGGCTAGCAGCCAAACTCCCCCCCAGCTGCTCGCTCGCTCCCCCCTCAGCAGGACGAGGGTGGGGTGGGGAAAAAAAATCGGAAGAACAGGAATGAGAGCTCTCATGGGTCAAAGACAGGGAGATCACTTACCAACTACTGCTGCAGGCAAAACAGACTCAACTTGGGAAAATTAACTTCATTTACTGCCAGTTACTTGAAATATTTATTTACTGACTCAGGTATTGGGAAACAGAAACAAAACAAAAAGAAGCAAACATTAAAGCACTTAGGAAAAACACCTTTTCTCCCCGGCTCATGTTCACTCCAAACTACTCTCCTCCCAGCTTACTATCACCGCAGGTTACACTCAGTCCCTGCAGTGAGGCAACGAGCAGTGCAAGGTGGTGGTGGTGCCTGTTTACAGTCAGTATATAATGGTTTCTCTCTGCCGCTCCCTCCTTTTCCCCTACACCGGTGGGGGTTCTCCATGGGCTGTAGCCCTTCAGGAACATTTGCTCAAGCACAGAGCACCTCCTTCTCCCCCTCTGACCCTGCTGTTCCCACTGTTGTTTGTCACTCCTTTTAGTGCCCTCCTCTCCTGGGAGCGTTCTCTCCCTTCTTAAACACACTATCCCCTGAGGCGCCCCGGCCTTGTCTGTGGGGCTGAGCGGTGCCCTGGGGTGGGTGGGCTGGAACCGGCTGTGTCCGGCTCGGGGCAGCCCCGGCCGCTCCTCACAGAGGCCGCCCAGCAGGTCCCCACTAACAAAACCTGGGCACCTGCACCTGGTACAGCTTCACAATCTTACACAGAAATTTTGTCTTCCCCACGAAGTGCTTCCTGGCAACTCAGAAAGCCTTGGTAACCTCCTGCTGCGGTCCCATAGGGCAGGACGCGGAGCAAATAGAGGACCCAAGCCCAGAATTCAGCTAGAACATCTTGCAGCCTCCCCCAAACAACCGTTAAGTGAGGCCGATCTGAGCAAGACTGTGATCTTTTCCACAAAGTTATCCTCTGGAAACGTCTGGCTATCACTTCTCCAAACGGAAGAAGAGTTCATCCCCCAAAAGAGGTCTTTACAGAAAACAGAGGAAGAGAGGGAGTGATACTGGATCAAATCCAAGGTCTGATTAGTTCAGTATCATACCTTCTACAAAAGTTGTTATTCTTAGTAGCTACTTACTGTGTGGTGTTACAGTACATACAACCTGGACAAAAATAAGGCTTGAAGGTCTATTACCTCCTTTGAAAAACTTTTTAAATTTTTTTATATTTATATAAAATTATATATAAAATTTATTTTTTTATATTTACTAAAGTGCATTTTTTACTTATTATGTAAGCTAGAATATGGCCATGTTCTAGCTATTCCTCATTTTTATTACACATAAGAGAGATTTGAGACTGTAACCTGAAAACTATGACAATCCCCAATGCACATACACAACCCCTCCCTATCTCTACAGCATATAGATGCACTATCGCCTTCCCCTTCATTGACTAGCAAGATAAGCATCTTTAAAGACAGTGCACATGCAAATCCTGGGCAAGAGAGTTTTGTCTCCTCCAGAAAACCTTCATAAATTGAAGTGCAGCAAAGGTAATATCAGTGACTAACTGCAGAACATACACACCTTGAGGGTCCTCCTGAGCTGTGGTACTGAAAAACAGTTATCAGTGTGAAGACATTAAATTGTCCTTCATCAGCATGAACATTATAAATCAAATCTGGTGATCCTAAACACCCCTCCATCCCCCAATGTATACACATTTTTGTTCAGGTGGTAAGGTTTTTGTGATGGTAACGTGTCACATACCTTAGTATGTGAGAGTAACTTGAG